CTGGAGTGGTGATCTCCTTTGAAAGTTTACTAAAAAACAAAGAAGCTCTTCAAGAAACAGTAATAGTTGAAGATCTTAAAGTACCCAGGAGTGTAAGAAACACTGTTCTTGATCAGGATGTCTTCTGGGTTCAGCTGCAAAATTCCCTGAAGATTCTAAAGCCAATTGCTGCAGCAATCACTGCATCTGAATCAGATAGTGCACTTTTGTCAGAAATTCCTTATCTAATGACCAAGATAAAAACAACTGTTTTTGAAAATCTCAGTATATCTCCACTTAAAACTATAGAAGAAAGTAAAGTGAAAGATTTTATTAAAAAGAGGGAAGAATTTTGTTGCCATCCAATTCATGCTGCTGCAAATCTGCTGGATCCAAGATTCAAAGGTGGAAATATAAGTGATGATAGCACTGTTACTGCATTTGACTGGATTACAACACAAGCGTCACATTTAGGACTTGATGTTGGGAAGGTACTTTCAAATGTTGCAGAATACAGAACATCTTCAGGGATTTGGTCTAGGAATGCAATCTGGGATTCTGCCAACATGGTGGCAAGGTCTTTGCACAACACAGCCTGTGACTACTCTTGCTTCTCGCCTTCTTCGGATTCCTCCATCTTCTGCAGCATGTGAAAGAATCTGGTCTATGTTTGGAAACACACTAAATCAAGAAATAAACGGACGTGTGAAAGGGTAGAGAAGCTTGTTTCAATCCAGGCAAACCTTCAGTTTTTAGAGGTCCATAATAACTGTGATAATGACAGACACAACAGAGTAGCTGCAGAAGCAGAGACTGAAAGTGATACTGATAATTACAGCTCAGAAAAATGATTCTGATTAAATTTCATGCCCATTCATTGAAACTTAGTCCCACACTCCCTTCTATACACTTCCCTCCTCTTCAGTTCTTTTTATGAGAATGGGGTTTTTATTTTTATTTAATACTGTGGAGAGGAAATATGAATAATTGTTACTTCTGGATTTTAAAAAATTGTTCTGTGGAGGGTTTTTTTGTCTGTTCCACATAAACTAGTATACAGTTTAGGAGATTGTTGCTCCGTTTGTTACAATTACAAATAAATATTATTTTAAAAGTACATTCTGTTTGTAATAATATGCTAGTTGTGATAATTTCATGCCAAGTAAAATTGTCCATAGTCAAATTTTATGTTCCTAAAGTAACAGAATGACTTTCAATCTGGAAAAGAAAGAAAAAATGCTAATGTAGCATTTTTTCAATTTTTCCAAAAATTTCCGTTTCCCCCCGGAAAAAAAAACGGGTTTTCTTCTGAGCTTCAAAATTTCCGGAAATTTTACATCTCTAGGGTTGGCCCTACTTAGCTTCCGAGATCTGACAAGAGCAGGCTTGCCTGGGCTATCCAGTTATTTGATTAAATAGCCTGGATCCAAGAGTGCCCCCAAACTCTTCATGCAACCAGGTAATAATAACTCCAGCATCATCTAAAGTTAGTACATGAATCCCCCTCCAAAACACTTGCTTTCCCAACTAACATTACCTCACCTTATCTGGATTTCGTGTTGGCTTGCGCCCCTTCACCCATTTAACTACAGCTTCAAGACATTGGTTTAGGACTGAGAACTGCTTCTGGGGCTTAACAAATGGCACACGTAACTGGAGATCATTAGCATATTTAGGACCTCCACCTTTAGTGATGCAGTGGTCTTATTTAGTAGTTTGACATAAAAGTTGAAATACTGAGACACAACTCAATGGTAAGTGCCGATATCCTCTTGGACAGAAATGTCATAAGAACGTAAGAGACGCCAATGTTGGATCAAGCCAATGGCCCATCTAGTCCAACACTCTGTTACACAGTGGCCAGAAATACCAGGTACCATCAGGAGGTCCACCAGTTGGGCCAGGACACTAGGAGCCCTCCCACTGTTGCCCCCACCCCCCCAGGCGCCAAGAATACTGTGCATCACTTGCACCAGTCCCTATCCATACCTTGTGGCTAATAGCCACTGATGGACCTCTGCTCCGTATGCTTATCTAATTCCCTCTCGAAGCCGTCCATGCTTGTAGCCACCACCACCTCCTGTGGCTGTGAATTTCATGTGTGAAATTTTGGGTGAAGAAGTACTTCCTTTTGTCTGTTCTAACCCGACTGCTCAGCAATCTCATTGAGTGCCCACGAGTTCTTGCATTGTGAGAAAGGGAGAAAAGGACTTCTTTCTCTGTCTGCTCTAACCCATGCATAATCTTATAAACCTCAATCATGTCACCCCTCACCAGTCATTTCTCCAAGCTAAAGAGCCCTAAGCGCTTTAACCTTTCTTCATAGGGAAAGTGTTCTAACCCTTTTATCATTCTAGTTGCCCTTTTTCCAATGCTGTAATATCCTTTTTGAGGTGTGGTGACCAGAACTGTACACAGCACTCCAAATGAGGTCGCACCATTGATTTATACAGGGGCATCAAGATACTGGCTGATTATTTTCAATTCCCTTCCTAATAATCCCCAGCATAGCGTCGGCCTTTTTAATTGCAGTTGCACACTGTCTTGAAATTTTCAGTGAGTTATTTACCACGACTCCAAGATCTCTCTCTTGGTCAGTCTGTGTCAGTTTGGACCGCATCAATGTGTATTTATATTTAGGATTTTTGGCTCCAATGTGCCTCACTTGGCCACATTGAACTTTTTGCCATGTTGACGCCCCCGCGCCCATCCTCGACAGATCCCTTCGGAGTGCCTCACAATCCTCTCTGGTTCTCACCACCCTGAACAACTTCGTGTCATCTGCAAATTTAGCCACTTCACTGCTTACTCCCAACTCCAAATCATTAAAAAGCATTGGACCGAGTACTGATCCCTGCGGTACCCTGCTGCTTACCACCCTCCACTGAGAAAATTGCCCATTTATACTCACTCTCTGTTTCATATTAATTAGCCAGTTTTTGATCCACAAAAGGACTTGTCCTTTTATCCCATGACTACTGAGCTTACTTAGGAGCCTTTGATGAGGAACTTTATCAAAAAAATTTGGAAGTCAAGGTAAACAACATCTATTGGGTCCCCCTTGTCCATGTTTGTTCACTCCCTCAAAAAACACTAACAGGTTAGTGAGACAAGATCTTCCCTTACAGAACCCATGCTGAGTCTGCCTCAATAGTTTTTGTTCATCAATGTGCCTACTAATTCTTTCCTTAATAACAGTTTCCACCAACTTACCCCCGGATCTCCTCTGGAACCCTTTTTAAAGATGGGAGTGACATTAGCTACTTTCCAGTTCTCAGGAATGGAGGCAGATTTTAAGGAAAGATTACATATTTTTGTAAGGAGATCCACAAGTTCACATTTGAGTTCTTTCAGAACTCTCGGATGTATGCCATCCGGGCCTGGTGATTTATCAGTTTTTAAGTTGTCTGTCAGTCGTAGGACCGTCTCTCTCGTTACCTCAATCTGACTCTGGTCTTTCAGCACCCCTCCCGAAACCAGCAGTTCTGGAGTAGGCAAGCACTTCTCATCTTCCATGTTTTTTTGCTATATGCTCCTCATATTCCCTTTTTGCTTGCCTGATCACAGACTTCCATATTATTTGCCACAGCCTGTGCTCTCTTTTATCAACCCCACTCAGACTAGCTTTCCACCGCTTAAAGGAACCCTTCTGCTACAGCTTCCATTACTTTGCTTGTTAACCATGCAGGCTTTTTTTGTATACCTATTTGTGCCTTTCCTAACCTGCGGTATATAATTTTTCTGAGCTTCTAGGATTGTAGTTTTAAATAGTCTCCAAGCTTCCCCAATGGTTTTGACCCTTTCTACTTTTCCTTTCAGTTTCCTCCTCACATGTTGACCCTCCCTGGCCCAAAATTCAATCAGGAGGAATACTTTCAGATGGGTTTCCAGCTCCCAGCATAAAGTGCTTAGATGTTATTCTGCTCGTCACTCTTATGGCAGCTGCTCAATGATGACTTTGCGGGCCGTGCACTACAGCGGCGGCCCCTAATTATATGCCTGGTGGAAGAGCTCCGTCTTGCAGGCCCTGCGGAACTATGAGAGGTCCCGCAGGACCCTGATCTCCTCCGGGAGCTCGTTCCACCAGGTAGGGGCTGCCACCGAAAAGGCCTTACTGAATAATTTTCTCTATGACCCCATCTCATACGCCACAATCTGTTACAATTCTTATGATTACACTGCTTTGCAAAATTTATTTTCTCTCTGTGACACTGAAGTCTGTACAAATCCTCACTCATATCACCAGCTGCAATTAATTCACCTTTGTCTCTGATAAAACATTTATCTCTAAAAGTGGCTTCTATTCCTTTCTTTGCCATTGCTCTTACAGAGATAAGATTATTCTCTAAACTTGGGACATAACAAATCTATAACAAGGACTTCTTGAATTTCTCCATTTGGAAACTTGCAATATAATGTCCCAGAACCAATGCTTTCTACCCAGATTTCCATCTGCAACATGTAATTTCTCTTTTCTATGTCCATCAAATGTTTCAAAGAAATTTTATCATCAGAGTCAATGTACCAACCAAGCAGTGCTTTTTGTGCTCCCTTGTGATAAGCCCTGGGGGTTTCATTGTCCTGAGTGTTGTAATGACTTGTAACTCAGCGATCTCCCATTCTAGTTTGTTCCAGAAATTCTTTTGCAATAAAACTGCTACCGTATTTTGAGGTCCCACATTGAGTATCCTGGGAGACTGAAGTGTTCTCCTACAGGTTTATCAGTTTTGCGATTCTGAGAAACCTGTAGGAGAACACTTGAAGAAAGACACTCAGTGGGGGACCTCAAAGCAGCTGTTTTATTGCAAAAGAATTCCAGAAACAGACTAGAACGGGAGATTGCTGAGTTACAAGTTATTACAACACTCAGGACAATGGAACTCCAGGGCTTACCAGAGATATCAGTTTCTTATCTCACTACACATGCTAATATCATTGTTCTCTCATCTGTTTGTAAACTTTTATTACACTGTATGCTAAAATCTGCCGCTATTCACAGGTCTTACTGATTGCCCTAATACAATCTTAGCTCTAAATGGCCCTTCCTGGCAACATCCTCCTCACCTGTTACCTATATGTAATGGTTGGTGACTGTTTCAATGTAGCATTCACATGAAAGCTTATAGCCAGAATAAAAATTTGTTGGTCTTAAAGGTGCCACTGGATGCACTTAGTTCAGCCGATGGTATGTCAGACCCGACACAATGGCTGATCTCGCCTTACTGTTTGCGGAGTCCCAAGCTGTTTGCCTCTCAGCTCTGTTGACTGCCTGTCCAATCTGAGGGACATCCCACAGGTCTCTCTTGATTAAATGGGTGTTCATTCTTTCTCTCCAAATTTGATAATTGTTCTGTGTGAGCCTCTCTCTCCAATGGTCATGCTGTGCACTACAGGAGATTACCATATTTGATCCTTTGTCTCACCTGCTGCTGCCTTGCCAGCACTCTAAGAGCCTCTGGCGATCCTCTACTTTTAATCAGATGTGCTTAACCTGGGCCCATATCCCTGTTAGCTGAGTGTTTACCCATCAAAGCTGCACAAACTTGACTGAAGTGTGGACAAAAGTTTTACTCAGGAATTAACATACTTGATAGTGAAGAGCAGAGAGAGAGATAGGTTTCTAGCTACATTGCTAGCTGAGAGCGAGCTGTGGAACTTCTGGGAAGAAGCAGGATATTGCCTTGAAAGTCAGTCTGGTGACTGATACAGAATGACACTTATCAGGTAAAAAGGTGCTGACCCCACTATCCTATCTAACTGGCCTTTCTTTATGCTGCCCCCGGCAGGGTTTTACTTCTCTTCTTTTATACACCAGACATTGCTTACTCCAACACTGAAGTGTTCCCCTGCCCTGTGGGGTAAGGGAGCTTCATCTTTTGCAGCAACACTAGGCAGCAGCATTTCTACCCTCACACCACTGCCTAATGCAGATTGCATCCATGCTTACTGCCAAAAGGTTTCTTACAGAAGCACTATCACATGCAGCCTCCTTTAACCAATGGCAGATCTATCCCACAACTTAAACTAGTATCAAGAAGTTGCTATGTAGCCCCAACAAAATATACAACAAGCACAGTATGAACTTCATTATGTGACAAATTCACTGTTACGAGAACATTAGCTCTCTTACTAACCAGCACCTGCTAGGTTGACCGGCATGACATTTACACTGGCTTCAATCTGCACTGCACACAGGTTTAAAGAATATAGGAACACCCTTGCCAGCTCTCCCACAGAAGTTCCAAATAAAAGATTATGTCTATGCTAAGCCCGAAGTTGTTGAAAAAGGCAGGGATATAACTTAACGGCTAGCTAGGAAGGAGGGAGAGATGAAACCCAAGCATACCCATGAAAGGAAGGGAAGATAATTATGTTCTCCCTGGTGCAGTCTCTCTTCTTCCCTATTCTCCTGTTATTTTCCTATTACTGGACAGTACTTGGCTAAGAACAGGGGTCTCCAATCTTGCTGAGCATGTGTGCAATGGAATTTTGAGGACAGGAAATGGGCACCACCACAAAATGGCTGCCATGCAGGGCTGGAGCCAATCAGAAAATAGCTGCCATGAGATACTAGTGGGGCCAATCACAAAAGGTTGGGAAGCTGCAAGCCAATCCTCTTCCTTCTATTAAGCCAGCTGTTTTGGGGTTCTCCTGCTCCAATGAAGCAAAGAAAAGCCAGGATTAGCTGTTGGAGAAAAAAACAAAAAACAAATGGGCACCAAGGAAGCCACTGGCAGATGCCACAGTGCCCATGGGCACCACCTTGGGAATTACTGGTTTAGAGGTTCAGGCACATCTGCAAACCAGAATCCTCCAATTACTCACAGACATTCTGTATCCTCCTACTCCTACTATTATGGACCTTCCAGAGTTCAGCTTAACATTTAAAGAGGTTCTGGAGCAGGACTCCAGGAAGCTGGGCTTCCTGTGAGGAAGAAAGGTGAATAAAGAGAGGAGAGTAAAAGGGGAAAAGGACAAAAAATAAAATATTGAGATCATAAAGTGGCAGGAGAAATGGGGCTAGAAGGTCTAGGAAGAATTTCTGAAACAAACAAAAACTCATGGCGAAAGTACAGTTGGGAAGAAGAGGATGACAAAAGAAGGACAGCAAGATCAGAAAGGCTCTTCTAGGCTGGCCTAACTGCTTTTCTCTTGATGGAAACAACCCTCCAGGAACCACCATAGAAGTTTCCCTTGTATACAGGCAGAAATATCTGAAAAACGAGACACATCCAAGAGTAATGCAATATGAGGAACAAGCCAGAGCCTACTGAACAACAGCACATATGACAGGAGACTCCCACTTGCTACTCTCTTTAGCAACCCAGTGGCCAGGCTCCAACAACAAAATGCACCCCAACAGAAAAGCTACCTGTTGGCCAAAAGGAGTGCTGTGATACACAGACCCTGAGAACAGCAGCAAATGGAGACTACCTATATAGGATTCCTTCCTATACAGGAGATTATGGCCTTCTCCATTGTACGAGAGGCAGCAATTCAGCAACTTAATCTGCAAAAACTACGCAGATTTATATCCTGCTCTTGCTTCCTCCATTAATGGATGTGAAAGAGGTAACGGAATTAGAGCACCATCTCCTTATAACCATACCTGGTCAAGGTATTTGGACTGGATCTTGTGCCGGGCCTCACACATCTTGCAGGGCTTCTCTGGGTCAGGGAAGACCAACTGATTGACTATGATGTTGTGGGTGTCGATCTTGCACTTGGCCAGCTCCTGGATGAGCCGCTCTGTTTCGTACAGAGAGAGGAACTCAGCAATGCAAACACAGATGAATGTAGTTTGCTCCTGAGGGGGAAAAAGGAGAGTGAAATGTACCACAAGTTCAGCAACACAAGAATACAGGGGTTAGTCAGTCATTCCGTTCCACACACCTTGCCCATACAATTCCCTTCTAATTTTCCCACCCTAACTCCCAACGGTGCCCCCCTGCTGCATGTCATCCTTCTGCTTTACCAGCAGAGGGAGAAAGGACGGCTGTGGAGTACTATCTGAAGAAGTGAGCAGTGACTCACGAAAGCTCATACCTTACCACAAATTTTGTTAGTCTTTAAGGTGGTACTGGACTTTTACTCTTGTCTTGAGCTTCATGGTCAGTTGCAATTCAGCAGTCTCTCTTTCTAAACTCTCTTTGAAATTGTTTCCTGTCCCAAGAGGCCAGACTACTGGCTATTTGCAAGCCTGAACTAACTAGTTTAACCATTTACATGCTTACTCTCTTCCAACTGCTTTTGGATAACATACTTCCCATCTAAGAAGCTAACACACTTGTGCAATTAGTTGCAAAGCAAAAAGACAGGAATCCCATCCCTTACCTGCTCTAGCATGAAAGATACAAAGGATAGCAAGACAGACACACCCACCCAATTGCTCTACTTAAAACTCCCCAGGCCTTGGAATGTATCTAACTGAAATTTCCCAGGACCATGTACTCTCATAGCTCCTTCACTCTGCAGTAATTTCCCTCTTTTAAAAGGGATGAGTCCAGAACTTAATGACACTGGGCCAGTTGCAGGTGTGCCAGTTCTGCCACACCCACAATTACAAAACGACACCTAAGAAAATGCTGTTACTCCTCAAGACAGTAAAAGTTGACAGAGATTTCTCCAGGCAAATTTAACATTGCAAAGATCAGCACAGTATCCTCTACACCTCTTCAACAAAGCTTGGTTCTTTGCACAGGGATTGGAAGGAGTAACTAAGGACCTGGACAGCAAGGGTGCAGTAGATGTTGTCCACTAGCCAAGTTGCAAAATTACAGCATATACTTAGCAATCAAAGCTGGAATGTATCGCTAGAAAAATAAATGAGACTGACATGCACTTATTGCGTGGCTGCTAGGACCTTGCCAGCCTCAGTGAAGGAGTTCACAAATGAAAGGAAGACTGAACTAGGATGCCAAAGACTCAAGTTCAACTCTCAACTCTACTTAGGTAGTTCCATAGGTAACCTCAAGCAGTCATTACATGTCCCTACCATGAATGAATGGAAAATTCATTTAGACTCAAGTAATGTGAAATCCCACCATTGCTCTGGAGGGGAGTGAAACTAAGAGGATCCTTGTTTCAAAACTCTTTCTTCCCAGCATGTAAAATGTGCATTCTAATCTGAGGAGTCTCTCTGTTTTCCTGATTAATTGATGCTATAGCTGGAAGGGCCAGTCAGAGCACAAAGATACAAGCATGTGCTCCTATAAGACCACCTTGCATTTGTGTGTTCATTCACCCACTGGTCGTCTGTCTCACAGACACTAACCAAAAGCTCAGTGCCAAAATGCAGACTGTAAGCTCCTTAGGGTAAAAACCATCCAGGGCCTGGAGATACAATCCTATATTTAGTTTAGTCTATGCAAAGCAGCATCCAGCTTTTACCACAAGCTATGAGCATGTCACGAAACTGCACCAAGATTCACTTGATTCCTGCCTTCCTGGAGTCAGATACGACACTAGGCTCCTTCTCCACCGCTCCTCCTAGCTGTAGCACCCCATCCCGCCCCCATCTTTGCAGAGTACTTGCCGGATCCTTGAACTGCTCGCTCACTGAGCGGATGACAGGGAGAGTCTCCTCTAGCTTGGAGGCTAGCTGGTCAGCATTCATGTCTCCCAAACCAAGCATGTTGCACATCTAGCGAAGAACAGACAGATAGGCTTCAGGAAGATGCAATGAAGGGCTTTTACCAACAGAGGGCCTATCAACATTGTATGGCCAAAAAAGCTAAGAGAAAGGGGTAAGGCATCAAACTGGTAAGCAGCTTAATCCAGACCAAAGTCCTGGGCCCATATACTGTGGGAAATACTCAACACCACACTTAACAAGCAAGTTAACCACTCCCAGAACTGGGCGTTTTAATACTGCTCCCAAGCACTGCAAAAACTCTGGGGACTAGGCAGGAGCACCATTTGAAGGAATTTATGATAAATCTATGGCATGGTCTTTTCAACCAGAGAGCATGGCGATTCTGATTCCTCTCTGTCTTTACCTGCGATATGAAGGGGCTGATCTGGTTCTTTATCTGCATCAGGCGACCTAGTCCCCGCTCCACGATGGTGGGGAAGTTGAGCAGCCGTAACGTGTGCCCCGTGGGTGCTGTGTCAAACACCACCACGGAGAAATTCATCCCTTTCACCAACCTGCACATACCAGAGAGAGAACCCTGAGCAGCCCTTGGAGACAGGAACATTAGAAATCACTTTGCATCTTAATGTTCTATTCTTCTCTGCCCCTTTTTTGTACACTAAGAAGGACCTTCCCATAACTCTTATTTCTGTTGAAGCACACTTGCAACTCCACTGCAAGGGGAGATTACTCTCTCCTTGTCTGAGACAAAAAAAAGCATCATGCACAAACAGATTTAGTTCCTTGCTACAGAGATCAGGGCTGCAGTCACACGTGCAGTTTGTGGCGCTATAGTGGCGTTACCTGAGCGGAATAAATGGCCCCCTCCAGACAAGGACATCTGCCTCCTGTGGCGCAGTCATCAACAGCCCATGCTGTTCCACAATGGAAGTGGAATAAACAGATACCAGGGAAAGTCCGGTATGAACCCTCCGGGTTTTCTGACGTCTGCTCTCTCCTGCAGTGAAAGGAACCCGGAAGGGACGTCTGAACGTGCAGATCCGTTTCCACCACTGGGGGGTTTATTTAAATGCATCTGTGTGCATTTAAATAAAACCCACCCTTACAGCTACTCCTGTGGTTGAAGTGCAACACTAATGTGGATGCTCCCCCATGGGGTGGCCGTGTGGTAACCCACCACAGGGTGTGCGGTCTGGATGAAATGCTCCACTACGCTTTGAATTGGTACAATCTGAAGCGCCACCATACCATGCCACGCCGCCAGTGTGACCACAGCCAAGGTCTAAGAAACCCAGCACAGGTACTGTTGTATTACAGCATGGCTTGGCTATCACACATGCAATCTGGTAACTGAAGCACAATTCTATCAGCTTGAACTTGCACAAATATTGAATTGCAAATACAGTACAGAAGGTGGTATCTAGTGAAAATACAATCCCACCTTGAGCCCCTATTCCCCCAGTATTCAGTAAATGCTACTACTTCTTCTACTGTGAGAAAAAAGAGTATGTGTGCAAAATCCAACCTGTGCTCAACAAAAAAGTGCATGCACAAATAAGTCCAAGCCACACAATCTACTGCAGCTACAAATTATATACTTTCCCAGGTCACTGGGAGATCAATACGGATGAGATTCTCACCTCTACTTTGTCCAATCCTACAATAGTATAATACAGTAAAGACCTTTGTTCCTCTGCTTCTGAAATAAGCCTTAGATAAGCAGAAGGATGGCAGTAAGCTAAATGTCCAGAAGCATAATCCTCACCTCATCACTTCAGCATAGCTCATGGCTTCATCAATACCAGGAAAGGCACTCATTGCCTCCTGCATCATCTTCTTGCCCATACTTAGCATGTTATCCTCTTCAAAGAATTCATCTGGAAGCTCAGCCACACCCAAGCTAGGATCAATCTCCTGGAACAAGCAAGGACAGAAGAAATATGCTTAACATTCACAAAACAGTGGCAAGGCCATTTGACTGTTCAACAAGAAGCAGTGATGCTTAGGATATAAAGCTGGAATTCCTGGTTTGTACAACTAATAACAGATCTTAGACATTACAAATACAAGCCTATCAAACCTCACATTAATCGCTTTGTACTCAAAATTACCTTTACTTACTCAAAATTATAGGAACCGTGCACAATGTTGACTTTGTGATTAGAATAAAATTATTTATTAAATATGTTGCAGTGGTATTGTGTATACTTAAGCATCCTGGAAAGTTACAATTGGATCGGATCTACAGACAAGAATATAGTTATGTAACCCACCACAGGCAACTTTACACAAAACTAAAGGCACAATCTAGTCAAAGATTACATACAGACATTCCTTCGATGTTAAGCGGGAGAGTTAACCACATACATAACTTTCTAAGTGACATGAGATTTAAAAGTGCTTAATATTGGTGCCATTTTGACCATAATGTTCATTTCATTAATATTTTCTCGTAAGAATTAACAAATTGAATTATCTCAGTTTTAACATTAAGCTAATAAACAGAGGTTGTGTTTTTCAAAACTAGATACTTTCTTAGCTACCACAGAAAAACTTTTTTATCCCAGTCTTTAGCTGCTTCCCTAGGAAGAGAGACCAAAAATAGGACTTCTTTGTTTAGAATGGAGTTAGGGAGAAGATAAAGGTTTATGAAATTTATTCAGTTAGGAAACAGGCATAACCTTTTCTCCCTCTTCTATACTGCCAGTGGAACAGGGCCAGGAAAAGAAGAATCACCAACCATACCCTAGTACACAACAACAAAAAAGAAGCAAACACAATATTTTTTATAGAACAAGCTCTTTGACTACACTATTAGAAGGAATTAGTTACTCACCATAGCAAAAAGGTTGTCATAGCCCTTCACTTTGGTGGGAACCTTGGAAAATTTCTGATCGAAGGCATCTGAAATGTTGTGAGCAGGATCAGTGGAGATGATGAGAACGCTCTCACGTACTTTGGAAAGCTGCACAGCTAGGCTGCAGCTGGGTTCAGAAAGTGAAGCAAGGGGCAGTTATTAATGACAATATATAGAAAACAGCCTAAGATGTCCAGTGGTCCCAATCCCAGACAGTCTGCCCACTCTAAAGTTTATGATCCAGAGGCTAATGACAAGGTTTGTGTCCAGGAAACATCAAAGTGGGAGGGGGGGATGCATTGGAGAGTTCAGCCATCTCAATTTCTGTCTGCAAGTAAGTTCACAAAAGTTACCAAAACACAAATGTTTCCATAGTGGCAAAACAAATTTCTGGCTGTTTTCTAATTTACAAATGCCAGCCTACTTGGTCACCCAAAAGTGATTCTTTGCAACACATGAGTAGCTACTCACAAGTGTGCTGTAGTTACATTGATATGTAGTATGAACACATGCATATTTACTCAGAAGTAAGTCCTATAGAGGCCCCGGTCACACGGCAAAGTTGCGGCGGGAGAGGCACGGATGGTGGGCGGATTATCTGGGCGCGATCACACCCCAACATCTGGGAAGTGGAGCGCACCGAAAATACGCGTTTAAGAACTAGTACCTCCAAAGTACTAGTAAACGTTTGCCATGGGCTGCCTCCAGACTCCAGTGGTGTGATTGTGCCGGCACGCGGCATTCCCCTCCGGTCCCTCGTTTACCTGCCGGCGCCGAGGGAAGGACCCATGGTGTGCCGCCGGCGCATCTGATCGTGTAATCGCGGATCATACTGCGCCGGGGCAATTAGCCACGCCTCCTTCCCGCGATATCCGGCACGTGTGACCGGGGCCAAAATTCAGTTAGACTTACTCCAAAGAACACTTAAGCCGCCAGTCCTGCCCCATAATAGCCTGTAATCTTTAAAACAAAAACCAACATAACAGAAGCTCACTTTATCATTACATGCCATAAGAAAATTGTTAAAACATGTACTCAGAGTTCAGGTCTTCAAAAGCCCAGGCACCAAAAGGCAGTTTAACAACAACAACAAAGTCTAATATTTCTACAATACAAGCTTCCAAGAACCCTATTCCTTGCACTCAGTTTATATAATCAAAAGGCAGTATCTGCAGAGATAAAAGATTGTGATGAGGTACAAAGGAGAAGGCTGGCTTTAAGGCCTACTGACCCAATTCAGGGTTTTTAATCAAACAAAACTAGCCTTTTAAGCAAAATCTAGAAAACAGTCTGGCAGTGGAGCACTTGTGCAAATCAGCAGACTCCACTGAATTTCAACTTAATAAAAACTTTCCGGAACAGCCTAAGGTCGAATGAGTTAAAGTAGTTAACCCTGAACTCACAAAGTCATAAAAAACTAGCATTAAAACATTAGCTAGAAATAGTTGGAAAGCAAGCTTCTAGCCTTTTCAGTAGGCTCCTTCCTTGAAACGAAAGGACTCTCAAACCGCATGATACAGCTACACACCAGAACACGTGTGTACTGGCCCTGCTTGGCTAGCAAATTCCCTTCTCCACTGTGCACCGCCCACATCGGAAGAGTCCAGCTACGCCTTCCTAGCTTACCTCCCCACCCCACGGCTCCTCTGCCTTTGACAGCTATACGGTGCAGAAGCTCAACAGGTGGAGTTTTCACCGCACAGAAGATACAGCGACGGCGAGCTTGCACCTAATAATAGCTGCCTAACATACAGCACAAGAGCCCCGCCGGGGCCGCCCCCGTCCTCCTCCGCCAGCTGACCTGCAGGTGGTCTTGCCGACACCGCCCTTCCCTCCGACGAAAATCCATTTCAGGCTTCGCTGTTCAATGATATTGCTCAGGGTCGGCTCCAGCGGCTCCACGTCAGGCGCGTCCTCGAACTCGTCCGCCTCCGTATGCAGCCCAGTCCCCGACGCTGCCATCTTAGAACGAAGTCACGTGACACGGCTCCCAACTACACCATTGTAAAGGGTGACCGGAGAGAAGCACTTCCGTCGGCACCCTCGCGAGCAACAGCAGTGCGCAGGGGCTCCGGCCGTCTCTTCCCCGGACCGTTTCCTCCGTTGCCTTTAAAATGACGAATACAGTTGGTACGTCACACAAAGGGGAAAGTTCACCAACAACATACACCCTTAACTGACCGGCTATTATGGTACTGCCTACACTGGTTTTCCTTCAGAGGATTGGCGGCAGCTCCCTGCCTTGATTGGTTGTTAGCGTTTCCAAAAGAATCATCAAAGGCCCGCCTCTCACTTCCTCTAAATTCTAAGAAACATTTACTGCGTTTTTTCCACGGTCTTTTCTGGTTGGTTTAGGAGCTCTCTCAATCATCACTGACGAAGTGTGACGTCCATGAACTAGCAACACTTTTCTTTTGACGTCTGTGGCAGCCTAGCAACACCGGCTTCTCCAAATCTCGTAGATATCCCGTCGTGCCCTGTGGTGGAGGCTGGCGTTGACATTTTCCCCCCATCGTGCTCTGCGGCGCGTAGCCTCAAGTAGGGAAGACGGTGCAAGATGGCGGCGCAAGGCGGAGGGCCAGGCTCTGAGGCGGCCGCGCCGGGCGGGGTGAACGTCTTCGCCAACGACGGCTCTTTTCTAGAGCTCTTCAAAAGGCACATGGAAGAGGCCGCTGCAGCTGGCGGGAAAAGCGGTGCGGGGGCACAGGGAACTGGGACCGAGAAAGAGACCGAGCCACGAACGGAGCCGCCCGGGGAGCAGGAGCCTCCGGGGAAGAAGCGGAGCGGGAGCGCCCTTAGCTTCGTAAGGGATCCGGGCACTGACCTTCCTTTTCCTTGTAACCCTTCGCGCAGATCCTCTAGCTGCTTTATTTTGGGAGCCGCCACTTTCTAATAAATGACCCAGCACCGGTGGCTTTTCTCAGTTTGCTTTCTCTTTAAAGGTAGTCCCCTGAAGTTTTCTGTGTATGTAACTGTAGGCAGAATAATAACAGGTAGAAATTCAACGGATGTAACAACTTTAATTATTCTTCCCCCCCCATTGGGCCCAGCCTGTAAGCACATACAGACTCTTAATTCTGTTTTTTTAAACTTTCACCCTCCTCTGTTTAGTAATCATTTTTGAAGGGCCCCATTTTTATAGCAGGATTCTAGTAGGTGGGAGAAGTTATTTAGTACCTCTCCTTTTCCTCTCTCTTCTGGTTTTTTTAAAAGCATAAATGTTTTGAATTTTTTTCAAAAAACCCCAAACATCCTGATAATGCTACTGTGTTCAGTATGAGTAAGTGCTGTGCAAGTTTCTTACTATTGGCTTTGAAGTGAGTATAGACCTGGACATCAGTAACTCTGGGGTGCTGCTGTCAGTGTTATTAAGGTATAGGGAAGTTACTATATAAGCAAAAAATGTGCCATATTTGTTTAATTAGCTCTATACTCTATATGAGTGCCTACTTATTCCAGTGTGACTTGTTTCCAAATTAATTGTAATTTTAGTTAGTCTTCTCTGGCTTCAGGTAATCTTGCCCCACAGCCCCTGCTATTTCATTGAGGCAAAATTTTTCAGTATCCAGGACTAAATATAATTCATAATTTCATTCTCCTGTATACTGTGTCTTAATTTTAGATGAATGGTTATGACAATTTAAAGCTGCTCTTTTTAAAAAAAGAAAGCCCAAAGTAAAAGCAAATCGTTGGTGTCAAATGGTTTTCTTGCTTCTGTGGAGAAAAAAATGTCAGTTATGACATTCATGTGTCAGTTATGACATTCATAGAAGATTGCTTTAAAGTGAAAACAGCAGACGTGCAAGAACTTTTTGCTGTTTACATGCAGATTTCACAACATAATGCCTTGTTTTACGTGATTTATAGAGAAATATCTGTTGGACTGGTACAGGCTTTTAAAAACTGTTAGAGGAGAATAATAACAACCTGCTTGTAGTCATGTAAAAACAGACATATTTTTCCTTTCTCAACTCTGCTGCTGCTGGTGAATATAATGAAACACTTTAATGTCTATCTCAGAAGAGCTGTTGTGGAAAGTTTCATTCCAGTATAGTTCCTGGAATAGAAATGAATCCCTTTCATTGTACTAATTGGGGTACTGTTTCTAGATTCGGCTGGTATGCTGCCAGTCCTCATGCTGGCCAATGCAGATGTGACTGTAGAGTTTGTGATCAGGTTTTAATAACTCAGGGAGACATCCTGTTCTAATGTAATAACCAGAAAATAAGCAAACCTTTCCTGATCTGATTGTCATTCTAATATAATTTATGTGCATGTGTGTTTTATTTGTTTGTGATATGGAGGTGGAAAGATTTTTGCAGTGACATTAGCAAGGAACAGAGGCAGAGTATGGTACATGAAACATTTCAGGAGTGTGTGAGGCAAGCAGGATGCTGTGGCATCTGTTTGTGATCACTGAATTCTACTTTCATTTCTTATTTTTTTTCCTCTGGAGTAGAAATTATCTTTTAAAAATGAAGTTTGAAACATTGAATCTTAAGTTTTCAGGTGCTATTAGGAATCCAGATTGCTTGATGCATGTAGGGTGACATTAGTGTGCATAGCACTAGGCATATAAATGAACAGCTCATTCTTTACCTGTCTGCATTTGGTTAGTTGGACTTTGATTAGTCTATGGGGCATAGTTAGTTCTGCTGACTTAATTATCAGATAATTAAACCATTTCATATGTATGCTGCAGTAAGGCAGTGATGTTGAAAGGGAGTCAGTAAAAATTCAGTGGTATTTCATAAGTAGAAGCAAGCATGGAAAAAGTTTGGATACTTCCCTTTTCTTGTTATTTGTCATTGTTTTTATGTTTGGGCTTAACTGTACAGATGTATTGCTGAACACTGCTAAGGTGCCATTTTACCCTCCTAGCGCAACGGTGTAAATAACGCTCGGCAGCTCTGTACAGACTGACAGGTGTGATGGCGAGTTAAGATGATCTAATTGAAGGACTCCCTATACCGTTATATAGTGGGCAACATTCCCCTTGCAGCTCCCAGGGCTCCTATAACGGTTGCAGTCTTCTATCCCTTCACCCAGGTGGGCAAGCGGAGAGGGGGCAGCAAACTAGCCCTGAAGACAGGAGTGGTAGCCAAGAAACAAAAGACAGAGGATGAGGTAAGTTGAGACAAGGCTTGTGGTAAGTCTCAAAGATAGCCAACTGACAGGCCATAGCACAGCATCAGCCTTGTAAAAAACAAGTGAGAGCCTCCTGTTTCTTTTCAGCCAGCTTTAATGTGGGTGGAAGGTTAAGCTATGGCATTTCTGCCTTCATCTCATCCAAGAGTGTTGGTTGTGTTGCACTTGGGATCTAGTTCTTCATGAAGAAAGCCATCTTTTTTGTATTTGAATAGCTGCTGGGTAGTTGAATTTTGATGACCAATCAGTTGGAGTTCAAGAGACAGCCTCCATAGAGTTTCTTTTGAAAGAGAATAGTTGAACAACCATGTTGCATGAAATTCTGTTTTCTGTGAGATAGTCTCCTGCTCTATATCAGAAGCAGAACCTTTATTATCAGGGGATTGCTTAAAAGCATCTTCAGGAGTAAGACAAGAGCACTTCCTTTCTCCATTATCAGTGGTGAATGCATTTAATCTTCACAGCAGCCCTGTGTGGTCTGTTACGCTGAGAGTCTAGCCAGTTGCTGAGCAAGGGGCCTCCCCAGTTCAAGTCCCAACAAGGGGTACATTGCAACTTGGTCTTGTAGATGGATGCCCTAGGCCACTTATGGGCCACTGGTTATGGGTTCTTAACTATGAAAATGCAAGGATTCTGTGTAATTTCTGTTTTTCCTTTCCATTCTTGTCTCTTGTAGGTTTTGACAAGTAAGGGAGATGCATGGGCCAAATATATGGCTGAAGTGAAAAAGTACAAAGCCCACCAGTGCAGTGATGATGATAAAACCCGTCCTTTGGTGAAATAACTTTCAGCTCCAGCCTGGACTGTCTCTGATGTACATAATTATTTAAAACAGCGAAGGAAACTAGCTCTGCCCTACAGACTGAGTGCTGCCATGGCAGCAGGTGACTTGCCATACTTTTATACCTGGGAACTTAGAGCTTCCTTCAATGGTTCATTTATTGTTTTCTCCCCCCCCCCCGACAACGAAGAACTTTGACTTAGCTGCAGATTTTTTTTTTACTTGTAATCCCCAAATAGTGGAATTGGTCTGTCATGTTTTTCCTTGAATCACCAGGCAAGATACCTCTCCCATTACACCCCAAGGCACACAGCCTTTGCTTAACATTACTCCTGAAGTTTCCACCATGGGGTCAGCCAACTGACTCCATCTCTGCCAAATGATATCTTCCTATTGAAGGTGAACTTAAATGCAGTCACAGCTAGCTGATCTGTGCTGCTGGCTGTGGTAACCCCAGAGCACTTTCAGTTTTCCTTATCTGTAGCTGATGAAAAAAGACTGCTGTGGGGTTTCTTGGTATGCGGCAAGTTTGTGACTGCGTTTCTGCCTTTTTTTACCCGTTTCACTGTAGTATTGCAGTGGGTTGTGTGGTTTTCATTTTGAATTCCAGTTGCTGCTGCTTAAGCCTGTTCTAGTCTTCTATGCATGCTGCAATCCAGCACCAGGGATTATTCTGTGCCTCTTTCCTAGCTAAGAAGGTAGAAACTTGTTCTGCACTTAACACTGTACCATGAACATATTGGTAAAAAACTGGTTAAAATTACCAAAGGCTTGCCTAGGACAAATGGAACTCCAAATATCATGATTTTAGCCTTTAACCTGCCCTTATGTCCTTGCCTTGAGCTGTGTGCCTAGAGTTCTTGGACTGTGACCACAGGCTTAGAACTATGGGTCTGTGGCTGCTGGTTTGGCAATAGCCTGCTGTGGACATGACCTGGCTTTTTATCTGTCCTTAGTGTTCCCAATTGGATTCTCTACACTATTCTTGTTAGTATTCTGAGTGCTGAGATGTAATCCCTGGCACAGACAACAATGAGTTCTATTGTTGCTGTGAGTGGCTGGGCATGACAACTTTGTAGAAAGGCTTCTGGTATATTCCTAGAAAATATTAACTAGATCTTTCAGAGATCTAATTACATCACTTCCAGTTTTATGCTAAGGAGCAGTTGGGATAACTTCTGAATTGCACCTTTGTGCTAGGGCCTTTTAATGGAACAGGCAGTTTTGTTGGGGAGGATATTAAAAATACCTAACCTGTAAGTGTTAAACATGCAAATCACATGCTGAAGGAGGACCACTTGAGCTAATCTACCATCATCTGTGATAAGACTATCTGGATGGTTAATAAATGAAAGTGTTTATGAAAGAGCATACAAACCAGATGATCTATATATACTCTCATTTACAAAATGTCACTGCTTTCTGTCTCACAACAACTTTGGAACTTACATAGGAAACTTAAAGATCCCTGAGGTGGAGAAAACAATGTTCTTTTTTTAACACTAAGAACATTTCGTGGAATTTCAACCAGTTGGAGGCACTGTCTGCTGTTGAAAGTCTGAAGCAGCAGTAGAGGCTTAAATATTTCACTAGTATTTGATTATAAGCAGTGGCAATTTGCTTCCCTATTACATATGTGGTTAGGCTCACCTTTATTGCTTTTGACCTACACAGCCCAGCAATCAATGCCAATAATCACTCAAAATACTAACTTTTAAAAATAAAAAATTATTGTGGATATTTGTCAGTTTTAACTGCAGTTTTTTTACCCCACAGTTGGGAGCATAGCATGGGGCATCTCCTATTATGGGATTAATTAACTACTTTACAAGAATTGGTAGTAGTTACTTCTCAGAGTCCCATAGAGCTAGCCATTCCAGGGCAACCACTGATCAGGGTCACTATTGAATAACAAACATACACTAGAAGTGTAGGGCAAGAAGACGCGT